ATTATTAAAATTATATATATGTGCAGTTAGGTAGGACATTGCCTGCTGTACTTAGTCATATATCTACAGAAAAGAGAGTTCTGTCAGTACATGAGGTATAGAGAAAGTGCCTGCAATGAAAATCACATGTACTACTTAAGTCTCATTACCAGTGATTCTTCCTTTTGCAGCTTAAAGAATACCTTCTGTGTGGAGATATACTCCCTAGGGAATGTAATACAATTCCAGGTATTGCCTTGCCTCTATAGGGCTGAAGAGAAAAAGAAGAATGCAATTTCCTAGTTTTCAGCACCTTACAGGTTCTATAGATCATAGACAAGTTCGGATAGGGTGTACTGCAGTTGGAAACAATGAGTTCTGCTCATGGGAAACGGAGTTCAGTGCATGGCATGGCTCCAGAGGACTGTTATCTGGTCTGTAGTATTCAGAATTTCTAGTCTGAGGACACATTTCTGTGGCAGCTAAAGCCAGTCTCAGTCAGCTGCTGTGCTGCAGTCCTGCCATAGTAAAATCTGGGTTTGCTTTTATAAATCAATTACAAATAGTCTTTTCTACCAACTGTGGCTACTGTCTGTCCTTTTGCATGTAACTTTTTATATTAATAGGAAACTATATGAAGTTGTTTTCATGTGCTATTTTGCAGGCACAGCCCAGGTTGTCTTTGGATTCCAGCTTTCTAGGGGAAGTTTTATGTGGGTTTGCTATTAAGAGTTGATTTTTTCCAGACCATACTATTTGACAATAGTTCTCATTAAGAAATTCTTTATTGTTCCTAGCTTTCATGCTTTGAATTATAAAATCAGATATATATTGTTATAACCAGACTTGTTTTGAGATTGCTTTTCTGATGTCAAATGCAGAGCTGATGTTCTTAGAAACAAGCGCGCTAACAGGGGAAAATGTTGAAGAGGCCTTTGTACAGTGTGCAAGAAAAATACTCAATAAAATTGAATCAGGTAAATTGAGATTTATATTCTTTTCTTTTTTTTTTTTTTCTTGAAAACTAAAAGCACCCATGGAAATACCACCTTTTGAAGTTCTCTAACAGAATTAACCCAAAACCCCAACATTTTGTTGTGGTAAAATAACCCATTTGTTTTGTAGCTGCTTCCCATATATTGTAATAGGAATGGATGTCCAAGATCTGTATATCTAAGAGGAAGGAGGTGTCTAAATTATGGATGTTTTCACACAGTGTTTACCTCACGTCAGCTCTGAGTGTAGGCTGTGCATTCTGGGATGCACTTTGTGGATTGCAGTGTCCCTACAAACATCAAGCCTGGCATTAAACAGATTCAGCAATGCAGGATAAAAACCTAGGATCAGGGCAGACATATCTTTTAATTCTGCTTCTCATATGTATCAGGAAATACAGTCAAGAGAATTCAAACAGTAATACTGAAGATTTCAGGGGTGTTTCCTAGCAACTGTGTTTCTCTGAAGTGACCTTCCTGCCTCTCCATTGAAAATTTTACATTTGCAGATCAGAAATAGACCAGAAGCTTCTCAGCACAAGTGGGCAGGTTTCTATTGGAGACAGGCTTCTGAGTGTTAGGTGTCATTTCAGCTAATTTGCATTCCAGTGTTCCTCTCGTCTTCTAGCTGTTTGGTATCTTCAAAGGTTTAAGTATTGGCTATACGGAAAAGCCTCATTACCTATTTTGAGTGCCAAACACAAATTTTTAGATGAAAAGAATATGGTCTGTTCATAGGAATTTCCTGATTACTCTATCAAATCAATGCCAAACAGCAAATTTCATTTTAAACATTAAAACCCCCATACCAAAAAGTAGAGTATAGCTAGTTTCTCTTAATATTGTAGTTCCATGGCTGATTAAAGAGGCATTACCACAAGAGAAGTAACTCCTGCTTTCTGTGAGCTGTTCCTGTTTTTGTGCCAGCACACAAGCATTGAGCCATGGAACAATTGAGACTGGAAAGAACCTACGGAGGTCTCTAGTCTAGCCTTCTGTTTAAAGCACATTCAGGTTCAGAGTGAGAGCTCTGTCTGTGTAGTTGCTGAATTTCAGAGGTTCCTGCTGGCCTGTTCCTCAAGCTCAACCAAGGTCTTTTCTGAACAGCAGCCCTATCCTTGAGCTGTCAAATTGCCCCCTCAACATGGTGTCACCTACTGACTTACAAAGGGATCACATGTGTGCAGTGAACCTGAATAAGGGATCAGAACTATTCAGAGGGATTTTTGTACTGAATTTTTATTTAAACTAAATGCTTCTAATCTTGGCCAGTCCACTATACAGTCATAAGGACATTTCTGAAGGCATAGGCTATAGAGAAGGCAGAAATGGATACTAGAAGTAAGGAAGATTGAGATCTTTTCCTCTGGGGGCAGTGCTTTATGGAAACCTACTGTCAGATTGATCCATTTTTGTTTGGCTTGATATCTACGGTACTACTTCCTTGGCATATTAGTCTCTGAAAGCAGGTGGGTTTTAATAGTGTTTGCAGAAAACACTTAGTGCAAATACATTTCTGGTTGCAGCCTGACTCGGAGACAAATTGCTTTGTCATTATGATTAAGGACACACGGTTGAAATTACAGGAGAAAATGATGTGAGTTTGGGCTTGCCTAAAAGTAAACAGAGTTGCAATAGATCTCTCTGTAACTACAGTAGAATATAATTAGATACTCCCTTCTAATGCTGTCAGTAAAATTGGAATGTATTATTTGCACATGATCCGTCTTCTTGTGACCATTTTATTTCTCATCAGGAGAACTGGATCCAGAAAGAATGGGCTCAGGTATTCAGTATGGAGATGCTGCCTTGAGACAGTTGAGATCACCACGTCGAGCACAAGCACAAAGTGCTCAAGAATGTGGGTGTTAAAGAAACGAAACACAAAATCCCAAATACTTACTTTAGATACAGAAGGTAAGGTTACAAAAATCTCAAGGTGTTGGGTAAATTACCATATTTCTTAAATGTGCTGTATCGAGTGCTTGGCTTTTTCAGGGTTACCCTGGAAAGTAACATAGAATCTAGTGAAATAATGCACAGTAGAATGGATTTTTTTGTTTATACTTTGATTTTTCTCTAATATCATCTGCCCACTTCAGCAAGACTAGTGCTCTTACTGAAGTTATTTCTAATGTTTGCTTACTCCAAGTCATGCTGTGGAATAAATTTTAAAGGTCTGCATTCCTGAAATGCATTATAGCCCTCATGGTTACCTAATGCAAGGTAGAGAAGGTGAATCATTTCTGTTGTGTCATGGACAAAAATTACTAGAAGCAAGAATACACAAAATATATAATGCATTATCTTGTCCAAAGCTATTACGTAGTCTTTTCTCAAAATATGAAGTTGAAAATGAAAGATAATACTGGATTTCAAACTTCCAGTGGCTTTTTTGTTCTTCCTACCTAAAAGCAGCCAAAGTCATTCTGATTCCTGTCTGCTATGGGCAGAAATGTAAACAAGACAGTATCAGTATTTTCTGCTTAAGCAGTGTCGTCATCTAAAGTAGCTCTTCTGGGGCTGTTGCAGCCTATGGAATGGGTGTGCAGTCATCTTCCAAAGATGTTCCTCAGAGAAAGTGAGGAACAGGTTTTTCTCTTTAGCAATGGTTGGGGGAGAGACATAAAAGTCACATAACCTACTCCTAAGAATAGCTTGGTAGTTAGTCTGTCTTATAAACAGTTGTCCTTAAGACACCTCTAAACATGTATGGATTTTACATAACTCTTTGCAGTATGCAAGTGGCTCTTAGGACAGTTCTTTCTCCCTGCATAGTTAATTATTCTGACATAATCCTTATTTCTCTAATATGAGGACAGTGATATCAAATGAATCAAGTACTGCAGGCACAGCTACTGCATTGTTCTTACTGTATTCATTTTCCATCAGTTTGAGCAGTGCACAGAGCGGAAGCGCTACAGAAGGTTAAACAAGGCAGCATACAAGTCTGCATTCTCATGCTTCGTTCTGTATTCTGGCAGATTATCTCACAATTAAAGCTCAGAATTGTAAATAATGGATGGGAATCTTGAACTGCTTTCCTCCCTTAGTTTCCTCCCATAAAATATCCTCCTTCACCTGGGAGACTGCTGAAAAATGGCATTCGTTTAGTTGAGCTTCGGTACGGCTCTGCAGAAGTGACTATTTATTGATCTTATTTCAGGAGCTGAGTTTTCAGATTGATCAGAGGCAGGTAACTGATGCAGTTCTTGTGTCTCTTACAGCTGTCCTTGCAAATGGTGTTTGGAGAAACAGAACAGCTTGAAGGCTGTGTGGTTTTTAAAAACATCTTTCTGCTGTCGACAGACAGAGCAGACCACTGCTGACAGAACCACGTGGTGTGGGGCAGGAATGTTCATGTGACATACAAATCTGCAACGCAACCTTGATAACTTGGTGGACAATATTAAGACTCGTACCTGTATGTAACCGTTTTCCATGACCTATTTTTGTTCTTTCACCTCTAGTTTAAAGCATTGCTCTATACTGTAAATAATGTAACAGTAAATTTAGGAAGCATGGTATACTTATGTATGCTGATAGAATGTTGCACTACAAGCAGTTTAATATTTTATTTTTTTATCATATAAACAGATTTAACTGAGGTAGGCTTTGTCATGTTTGTTTGTTGCACAATAGATTATATTTATGACCTGAATTATAAAACCACTGGTACTGTCAGTGAGGGGTGGTTGTTTTGTTTTTTCCTACTCAGCGTGCCACATTCTAACAAGCTGTTGACATGACTGAGTCCCAGCATACGGTTAGGATCCATGATTACATGTACTACTGTAGTTGGAAAAGTCATTTTTGTTGATGTCCACATATCCTATTTTATCACAGTTCTTAAGTAACTTCTGAAGTGCTTTTATCAAACTTCAGAAGTTCAGAAAAAGTACTTGTAAGTCTCTCAAATGGCTGTTGACTGACTTGGATCTTTTTTCTTGGTCCTGATGTTTTGTATAGCACTGGCATCACAAAGGCGGAATGTATATATGAACAGAACTGTGCAGCTTCTGTGTGTGTTGTAATTCCAGAGCAGGGGCATGGGCTTATGGAGAATTATCACAGCAGGAGTTTTCATAACCTCTGACCACAGCAGAGCAGTCTGCTGTGGAAATACAATCTCTGTTGAATCATACCTGGTGACGTACAAACTGAACCAAAATGGGTGGTTCTGAAGTATCTTGAATGTATGACATCTAAAATATTAATTGCTTTTACTTCGATGTTCATGAAGTATGATTAAGAACTTGGAATTTTAAAATTGGACTTTAAAATTAGGAACTTGCAGTCTGTCTTGCTGGAGCTCTGCCCTTGAACTTTGTGTGAGTGCACTGTACAAAATGCTGTCCACACTGCTCCCAGGAGACTCCTGTGATGGAAGGTAACAACCAAGTATACCACTTACATAGCTTTTTCTCCCTGTGGAAGTCATCAAGGGGAATTTCAGCCTTGGTATTTTTTCCCCCCTGTGTTAAAACACACAATGCAGATTTTTTTTCATGCCTGTTTTTTGGGGGTTTTTTTATTGTGGGTAAGAGGTGTGGGGCAAGAGATTAGCAATCCTGTCCTCATTCCTCAGCTAGAGACAGAAGAGACTTGCAAAGGGTCCCAGAGGGAGGGCTGAACTACAAGTATTACATACCATTTTTACAGTGCCATAACAACTGATCAGGTAAGAGACCTGTGACTTTTGTATTGCCAGACAGGGAGCTGTAGAGCTACACTAGTGTTTCTGGAGGTAGCTAAATTCAACCAATTCAGGAGGGTATTTGCAGTGACAGAAATTGCTAGTGACATTTTTAACTTAGTTTCTTGTATAACTAGACATGGGATGTCTCCTTGGAAGTGCAAGTTAACATAGATTAATCTGATCAGAACCCAGTACTGAAATGCCAGGGTCAAGAGTGCTTTATTATTGGTCTATATACGAATCCCTTCGATTTAAGGGTTACTTGTCAAACACGTGTTTAAACCAGGAACCTGAAGTGTTGTTGTAAGTTAGAAGGCAGTTAAAGCACAAGAGTAAAGCAAGAATGCTACACAGAGGTATACCATCTCTTATGGATTTAGGTTTGTGTTTAAAATTATTCCCTTTGTCCTGACATTTTTGGTTCAAATGGATGCTTACTTAAAAACTATATACCTTAGGTCATCTCTGTATTAAAAGGAATTAAATTTGCTTTGTATTTGAAAAGCCTAAGTTTAGGTTTATAAAGGCTGTTGGGTCCAAAGACTTCTATGTTTTCTCTCTGACTCTTACGTTAGAGATAGGATTGGATTTGTTATGTAACTGCTAACAATTATTCCCAAGGAGTATTCTCTTCCTGGTAGGAGTGTATTTTTTGAAGCAGCTTAACTGTGCATTTACAAGCACATCAAAGAATTCCAAAGAAACTTACCTGTCTTAATCCTCACCCAATATATTTTGGCTTCCAGTACTCAGAACTGGAAATAATTACCAAAAGCAAGTCCTCTGAAGTGAGTGTTGGATATAGTTGTCTCCTCCACCAATCCAAATGGCAGATTATTAACACAATTGGGGTATGCTGTGTTTCTGCTAGAGTTCTGGAATGCTGGGAACAGATGAGATATGGGGGAGTCTGTCCCCAACTCAGCCTTACCACAGTCTAATCAGGTTTCTTGGTACACTGACAAAAGTGAAAGCTGAGTACTTGCTTATCAGCTGGGGCACAGGACAAGTGAAGCTGACTGAAGGTCTCTCTCCTGTCACAGTTATTTCCATTATTATAGTAGCAGTTGAAAAGATTGGGGGACTGTTACTTAATCCTTTTGCTTTCAAATAAAAAGTGTAGACATTTGGCTGGGATTTTCTTACACTTCTTCCTGCCCTTCTCCCTTTACATATAAGACTGGCCTCTTTTGTATACTTAGTTCTTATGGTTACTTCAGTCAAGTGTCTGGTTAAGAAGCAGTAAGCAAGCACAGTTTTATTCTTTCTGTAACCAGCTGTCTTAAGTGGTCCCCTTCCTACCTGGAAGGCAAGAATAGTGTCATTATAATGAGTTTTGACATGTTTTTACCTTTTTTTCCTTAATGTATACTCTTACCATATACACATTAACCAGGTTAATGTGCATGTTTTGTAGTAGCACAACTTTTTATGCTGCAGATCTCACTGATGTTTTAAAAAGAAACTTTCTAAAATGGCAACTCCTGAGGGAAATACTATTGGAAGTAATAACTCTCACCAGTGCAAGCTATATTGTTTACTGGTTTTCCTCTGAGGGGTTTTGCATTTCTAAAACTAAACGTCATGCCTATAATAGCCCTGGAGTAGATGTTTAAGCTTTAGCATTATAGTTTGCAAACCAAACCTAGCTCACACTTATCAATGGTTTTAGTGTAAAATTCTTATTTACCAAAGCAAGATTACTTGGAGTTTTACATGAAATAATACTGGGTACCTATCTCCTAGGATCTATTGGATGTGGAGCTTCAGCTGTTTAGACCTTTTAAAGGATTTAAATGCCTTAAAGCCTGTGTCTTGCCTTTTAATGAGTCTGTTGGCCTACACTATTTCATTTAATGCCTGTATCTAGCCCCAAATAAAGACTCTTTCTTGGTTTTCTAGGTGTCTTACAGCAAATCCTATTTATTTGCACAAGTTTTGCCTACCAAGTGAAGTCCATAACATGACAAACCTGAGGTAATCTTAAAAAGACTTTGCTGAATTCATTGTGTAGTCAGTATGCAGCAGGGGAAGCAGCTGGAAGAGCTAGAGTGCTCCAATGTATTTCCTGGGAGCAGGGCGTGCTTTGCCCACAGCATGGGATGGCCCCAACCCTGCAATGCTGCACTTAGTTTCCTTGTGTCTTTCTGCACTAATGACTAGGGATGATATA